AGGGTGTGATTGGGGGGAGGGGGGATGGGTTGGCGCGAACAGGTACGGAGCGTGGGAATGGTTGAAATAATCAAATGGGGAGTTTTAGAAAAATATTACCTCCCATTACTGTAGAAGTTGTTTTCCTAAAATTAGAGAAAATGAATTTGTAACAAAAATATTTTAAGAATATTTTAGCTAACTAAATATGAAAAAAATTAAAAACTATAACATTGTTATGAAAATAAAGAAAATATGGTAAAAAAATATAATTAACTAGAACTTAACATAAGAAGAGAATGATTATTAGGATCGAAATAACGTGGTTCGGTCAATTGACCTACATCCACGGACGGAGATGAGCAATCCACTATATAAAAAGAGAGTACAAAATATCGAGAGAACAACCTCACGATGAGGCAAACACAAGTGACAAACTAAAACTTGTCCCAAAAAGTTCTCCTTCTAAACAAGACTCTCAAATTCCTTATGGTTACATTGTGGATGTACTAAATGAGAAGGAAGGATCCTCAATTTATAGAAGTCCAAACTTTTTCCTCCAAGAAAAGGGACTAGCCAAATATGGGAGATTTATAATTTCTTTTACGAAAAGAAAAACTCAATTATAGTAAATATGTTGCCCTCTCCTTCAAGAGATAGGAAAATCAAATATGGTAAGAAAATCTAGACAAACACCTAATAATTCTTTCCCCTGGCCTGAATTTTCTGACAAAATAAACTTGATCTACCTTTTTCACATATTCTTCAATAGGTCGCATCTCCAAATCTCCACCACAAAGTTTGTCTCGACGTGAGTAGCATTCCGGTAAAATTTCTCAGATAAAAATCATGATTATCATCAAATAGGTTGCGGCTAGAACTAAACCTCCCAAAGATGAACTTGACTTGAACCTCACTCTGATACCACTTATTAGGATAGAAAAAATCAAGTGTCATGCGGAAGCTAACAAAGCAAACATTGAACAATGTAACGATAAATCAGATAACAAAAGAGAAATATACCAAAAGAGACACAAACATTTAACATGGTTCGGTCAATTGACCTACATCTACGGGCGGAGATGAGCAATCCACTATATAAAAAGAGAGTACAAAATATCGAGAGAACAACCTCACGATGAGGCAAACACAAGTGACAAACTAAAACTTGTCCCAAAAAGTTCTCCTTCTAAACAAGACTCTCAAATTCCTTATGGTTACATTGTGGATGTACTAAATGAGAAGGAAGGATCCTCAATTTATAGAAGTCCAAACTTTTTCCTCCAAGAAAAGAGACTAGCCAAATATGGGAGATTTATAATTTCTTTTACGAATAGAAAAACTCAATTATAGTAAATATGTTGCCCTCTCCTTCAAGAGATAGGAAAATCAAATATGGTAAGAAAATATAGACAAACACCTAATAATTCTTCCCCTCGGGCTGGATTTTCTGACAAAATAAACTTGATCTACCTTTTTCACATAATCTTTAACAGGTCGCATCTCCAAATCTCTAGCACAAAGTTTGTCTCGATGTGAGTAGCACTCCGGTAAAATTTTTCAGACAAAAATCATGATTATCATCAAATAGGCTGCGGCTAGAACTAAACCTCCCAAAGATAAACCTGTCTTGAACCTCGCTCTGATACCACTTATTAGGATCGAATAAATCAAGTGTCATGCGGAAGCTAACAAAGTAAACCTTGAACAATATAACAATAAATCAGATAATAAAAGAGAAATATACCAAAATAGACACAAATATTTAACATGGTTCGATCAATTGACCTACATCTATGGGCGGAGATGAGCAATCCACTATATAAAAAGAGAGTACAAAATATCAAGAAAACAACCTCACGATGAGGAAAACACAAGCGACAAACTAACACTTGTCCCGAAAAATTCTCCTTCTAAACAAGACTCTCAAATCCCTTATGGTTACATTATAGATGTACTAAATGAGAAGGAATGATCCTCAATTTATAGAAGTCCAAACTTTTTCTTCCAAGAAAAGAGACTAGCCAAATATGGGAGATTTATAATTTCTTTTACGAAAAGAAAAACTCAATTAGAGTAAATATGTTGCCTTCTCCTTCAAGAGAAAGGAAAATCAAATATGGTAAGAAAATCTAGACAAACACCTAATAATTCTTCCCCTTGGTCTGAATTTTCTGACAAAATAAACTTGATCTGCCTTTTTCACATAATCTTTAATAAGTCGCATCTCCAAATTTCCACCACAAAGTTTGTCTCAACGTGAGTAGCACTTCGGTAAAAT